ATTTCATATTAATTAGTCAAAATATGTCAATATTCTATCCATTAGCCACATGTGGCTATATTTAAATAGATTTAAATTAAATTAAAACTTGACTTCCTCATTCATACTATTCCAGGTACCACATTGGACAGTGAGGATTCAGAGCATTCTGGAAAGTTCTGTAGGGCAGCACTGATCTGTGAGGGAAACTTGTCCTCACCCACTATTTTGTTCAAGTCAGTCCATAGAGAAGAGGTCGGATAAATGTTTGCTTCTTTCCCTCTATTAACCAATTTTCAAAATGAGTTAGTTCCCTAACACCTTCCAATGGGGACCAGCTAGTACCTTCCTTTCCTTTGAGCACCAACACGAACCTGTGGATTTTTAACACATTTCATGCTCCAATTTGGGGATGCGTTCTCATTCACACTCACCTGTCTCATCCTTGGCCAGGGGTGCCCCTGTGGGTCCTTCTGACACAACCACGGTACCATCTTACACAATCGAGCCATTCCCAATGCAGATTTAGAATTAAAACATTTTAACTTAAGTGCTTCAACCTTATATTTTCATATTTCTTTCACCCTGAAAATTCTAGTTCTTAAAGACATTAAGTACTTATTTGTTTTCTCTTACAATATGTAACAGTAAGAATATTTATATCGTTTACCTGAAACGAAAAATAACTCCTAAAAACAGTTCAAGATTTTTGGGGCTGGCCCTGTGGTCAAGTGGTTAAAGTTCCACGTGCTCCGCTTTGGCAGCCTGGGGTTCGCAGGTTCGGATCCCAGGTGCAGACTACTCCACTCATCAGCCATGCTGTGAAGGCATCAGTACAAAGTTGAGGAAGACTGGCAAAGATGTTAGCTCAGAGCTAATCTTCCTCAAGCAAAAAAACAGGAAGATTGGCGATGGATGTTAGCTCAGGGTGAATCTTTCTCACCAAAAAAAAAAAAAAGAAAGAAAACAGTTAAATTTTTTTGTGGGTTTTTTTTTAAGATTTTATTTTTCTTTTTTCTCCCTAAGGCCCCCCGGTACATAGTTGTGTATTTTTGGTTGTGGGTCCTTCTAGTTGTGGCATGTGGGATGCCACCTCAGCATGGCTGGATGAGCGGTGCCACATCCGCGCCCAGGATTCAAACTGGCAAAACCCTGGGCCACCGAAGCGCATGAACTTAACCACTCGGCTACAGGGTCAGCCCCCCAGTTAAAGATTTTTAAACAAATTTTCCTCTTACGGCATAGTCACTAAAACATTTACTGTCAAACTTCTGTGTTTTTAAAGTCATGTGAAATAAATCCTCCAAGAGGTTAAGTCACCAAGTTGAGTCACAACTTACACGCACTTAGATTCATTTATTTTGTTTTGCTTTTGGTTTTCAGGGACTGCCCCCACAAACACACATTTGACATACTTTTATAATTATGTAAAACACCCATCAGGTGCTACACAGAGAGGAAACCCCAGAGAAGTCTCTAGGTAACCCTAACCCCTCTCATCCTTTCTTCTGGAGTTGACCATGTGGTTCATTTATGGTTTATACTTCCATTTTTAAAAATACAATATAAGCAAATACACATATATCCATATCCGCCTCACTTTTCCTCATGGGGGATAAAAGTGAGTGTGCTACACCTCTTTATCATTTACTTTGTTCTTTTTTCTACTCATCATTTCACCGCAGAAATCCTGTCACCATGACATGAAGACATCCCTCCTTCCTTCACTTAGGGGCTCGGCTCCCAACCCATAGGCAGATCCAGCCACATCACTCCCAGCCACAACTGAGAAACACTTCTAAGTCATTTCCAGCTTCGCTGCTTCAGAATGTTGTATGCACAGCCTTGTCACAATCCTTATTTTTGACAGTGTATCTTTGGGACACATTTCTAGAAGTGGCACTGCTGGAGCAAAAGGCAAGCAATCCCCCTCTGAGGAGCTGTGAACCCCTAAAAGCAACGTATGGTAGTGCCTGACTCCCATCAATAGAAGAGTGTCCATCTCCGAGGACAAAAGGTCAGAAATGTCTCAGGGAAGCTGCAACAAGCATTATTCTTGGTATCAGAAAGACTGAGTATCTTTCATACCTTGGTTAAGGGCCATTTGCATTCACTTTTTCTGTAAATTGTCTGTTTTTCTATAAGTCACACCCAGTTTTGATCCTTAATACCCAGTGCAGGGCCAGTCTCAGCATATGAACAGTGCGTACCTGCTGAACAATTCCAACAGGCAAAATTCAAGGACGGATACCATGTCCATTAGCCTGAGCCTCAGTGTGCACACCACCAACTGCATACAATGTGAGGCGCTGTGTGGGGGTTGTGTGCATGCCTCAGGGCTTTCTGGGAGTCAGCCCTCCTCCCACTCTGCTCCTCCTCTGTGCCCGCTGGGTCCTATGTAGCAGGAACAATGAGACCCCAGCTGACTACAGGCCATGGTTCAACTTGAAGTGGGTGTGGACTGGTGCTAGCCAGAGAAAACCTAAAACCAATCAATTTGCTGGGCTGACTTACACCCGTGACAAAAATACACAGGCTGACACATTTATAAATCTTTAAAAAATAATCACTCAAGGTTGTTTTTTTGCCTGTTTGACATTGACCACCACCTGCCATAACTGTTCAGACTGTCCTTGCCCATCAAGCCCCTTCACACACTGGGTGGAGAGAGACAGGGCCTAAAGGAACACCTGGGATGGCTTTTGGAAGTACTCTTCCAAACCCCTAAACTGACTGTTTGTAATGTTATGGCTATGTCTTCCACCTGGCCCTGTGACAGAGACAGGGGAGGTTTCTTGCTTTCATTTTTTCATTCATTCATTCAGCAAGTACTTATTACTCAGATCATGTACTTCTGAGTTAAAGGGCCAGGCAGAGGTGGGGTGCCCAGCCAAGGACCTGGAAAAACTCTGAGCTGGCCACTGCCCTCAGACATGAGGGACAGTCACTCACTCCACTGGGCTGCAGGTAAAACCATTTCCAGATGTAAACCACTAATCTTAAACGCTAATGTCTAAAGAGAGACAACTGACAGCCAAGTGACAGGCCTACCTCTTCATGGCTGCCCCACTACATGCTGCCATGAGCACCAAGTAATGCGCACCAGGAACCAGCACTGTCAACACATGATAATCTTCAACTAGCTCTAGGAAACTGGCACAGACTTTGAGTCACTTATTGTCTCCAAAGAGCTCTGGGGCCCTTGAGTAGGGCTAGGGGGATGCAAAATGGTGCAGCCGCCATGACAACAGTTCAGCAGTTCCTCAAAACATTAAACAGCTACCACATGACCCAGCAATCTACTCCTGGGGATATACCCAAAAGTGAAAACATGTCCGCACAAATGTTCATAGCAGCACTATTCACAACTGCCAAAAGGTGGGAACAGCCCAGATTCATCCCAGATTAATGGATAAACAAAATGTGGTCTATCCATGCAATGGAATATAGTTCAGCCATAAAAATGTATGAAGCATTGATTCATGCTAGGTGGAAGAACTTCAAAAACATTGTACTGAGTTAGAGAAGCCAGACATACAAGGTCATATATTGTATTATTCTGTCGACATTAAAATGTCCAGAACTCGGGGCTGGCCCCATGGCCGAGTGGTTAAGTTCGCGTGCTCCGCTGCAGGCGGCCCAGTGTTTCGTTGGTTCAAATCCTGGGCGCGGACATGGCACTGCTCATCAAACCACGCTGAGGCAGCGTCCCACATGCCACAACTAGAAGGACCCACAACGAAGAATATACAACTATGTATGGGGGGCTTTGGGGAGAAAAAGGAAAAAAATAAAATCTTAAAAAAAAAAAAAAAATGTCCAGAACAGGCAAATTCATAGAGTTAGAAAATAGATAGTGGTTGGCAGGGGCTGGGGAAGGGGACATGGGAAGTGACTGCTAATGGATGTGGGGTTTTTTGGGGGGGTAATGAAAATGTTCTGGAACTAGATATTCAGGAACTCCTGAATATACCAAAAAAAAAAAAATCACTGACTTAGACACTATAAATGGGTGAATTGTACTGTATGTAAATTATCTCAATTAAAAAAAAATTTTTTTTAAACACCAGTAAAGTTCCTTTTTGTTAAGAGAACATTCTGAAGTGTTTTCCTGACACCAGGATTACTTGACCATGCCCATATTGTCTTGCTATATGCAGGTAAGAGCTGAAATCTCACAAAACCAACCCCCAACCCTTGTCACATACTGTGCTCAGCCCAGTAGGTTAGTCTGAGCAGCCAGTTCTCACCCTGTGCAGCTGTGAAGCTGTCAGAAGGGCATGCACCCCTCGCCAAGTCACCTACTGGCTGGCCTGTAAGACGAAGCAGCTGACAAAGCCAGGAGGTCTCCAAGCTGCTTCCCAGTTCTAAGACATCTCAGTTCTACATTCTTCTCCAGGTAGGTGGCCCTGGCCCAAACCATCACTGCCCAGCCCCTGATGGTAACAGACAAAATCCTACCCAGCTTTTGGGCTCTGCCCTACTGGGTCCTGACAGCCCTGGACAGTCTCCATTTGAGAGCCCTAAACAGGGAGACCAGCTCAATTTCCCACAAGGCACAGTGCGGAGTAGGGTCAACCAGCTCTAAGCACCAGTGCGGGGGGGAAGAGGGGGCCTGCATCGCTGAAGATACTTAAGGAAAAAAATTCTGCTCATTTCAGTGAGTGTTGGAAAATCACAGAAACGACCAAAGGGCAAAGGCCACCTGGCCAGGATTATCTTCTGCCCCTGATCCTCACGGAGGACAGCTCATCCTATTTAGACCTGGGCTTTTCAAACAAGTGACCGCTGAGTCCAGGGGAGAGCAAATGGCCACCTTGGAGGTAGAGGGCAGGGCCTCAGCAACCTCACGGAGACAGCTCAGCATGCAATCCAGGAGGGACTTGCCTCCCTCCATCTTCTCTAGGAGGTGGCCATCAGCTTCTGAAGCAGTGTTCAGTTTCAAATGTCCAAGTTGCTGACCGAGGTCTGCTGGACAAATGAGATCCTTCACTCCAGAGGCACCGACCCCAAGCACTCACCTATCTGAGCTGGGAATGCTGGTCCTACCAGCCAGCCATGGTGGCAGCTATGGCAAAAGGCAACTTGCATCAACGTGCTGACCAACCTAAAGCAAAGGACAGAGAAAGGAACACTGAGTTTCCAAAGCAAGTTTCTGGAATGTACCAACCATTTCAAATATCTCCAACCCCTGGAACTACTTAGCAAAATTTTAGATTTCAACCAGAGTTCTGTCTCTGCTACCTTCCATAGGGGGGCAAGCTGAGGAAATAAATTTTTACCAGTCTCTGACACATGACCTGATATGGTGTCAACCAATAAACCAGAAGCCATCTTCAGCCATACTGGATGAAGACATGAGGTGGTACACAGCCACATGCTGACATAATAAACACAGAAAATGGTTCAAGGTTTGATTATAACAATAACAACATTAACAGCAGACCCAGTAATACCTAGCATTTAATAGGTACTTAGTAGTGAGTCCAAGTACTATGCCAACACTCAGCATCTCTTGAATCCCCAAGATAATCTTAGGGGTAGATTACAATATCATGCCCATTTTACAGATAAGAGATCTGGCATGTCTGATATTCAGAAACTTGCCCAGGGTCATCCAGGTCTCCCTCTGCAGACATGATCTCTTCACTCCCTGGTCCCCGTTCACACGGACCAGACCCCAAGGAAACCACCCACCATTCCAGGCCCTGCTGAGTTTGCCCTCGAGAAGCTGAGGGCGGATGTGCTTGGGGATAGGCAGGCTTCAACCCCATAGGGCAACTCGCAGTTTAATCCCAAGCATCATCTCCTGAGCTTATATCACAGAGGGAGGAACGGGCTGCCTGGTTTACAGTCAGGAAAACTAAGGCTCAAGAATGTTCAGGAACTCTCCCAAGGTCACAGAGACAGAGTGGCCCCAGTAATTCCCTTCCGTTGTTGACGTCAGACGCCCAGGACTGTGGGCGCAAGAGGCTGAACCCAGCAAATTAGCCAAACCCCTGACTCCCAAGCAGTGCTGTCAGTTGTAGCTTGCCGAATATTATCAGTATCACCTCTGTTGTCATTCTTTGCGTCCACATGACTACCAGGAGCTTGCTCTGATATGAAAGTTTTATTTTTAAACTGAGTTCAGAGTAATTCACAGCTCATAGATGGTGACAAACACTCCCAGGGGAGAACTTGCAAAAAATAAAATAAAATAAAAGCAACTATCAATGAACTCTATAGAAAGAACTTTGCGCACCAAGGAGCACACAGCACCCTCCTCAGTGAGGCCCAGGGCCAACCACAGCCACCACTAGGCTAGCTCCCAGGAAGGGGGACTCTTCTGCCACTCTTTTTGATCCCTTTCAGGCTCGGAAACGCAGTGGACGCCCTTACTCCTAGTTCTTCCATACCTCCCAAGCCGAGGCCTCTCTGCCACGGAGGGAGAAGCCTCAGAAGCCGGCACCCTGAGTTTTCCGAGCACCTGCTTTCTTCAGGATCAAGGTCAATACACAAAAGTCAGAGGTATCTCTACATACTGGCAACAAACCACCAGAACTCAAAGCTTTAAAAAAAAAAAAAAGAAAGAAAAAGCTCCATTTACAATAGCATAAATGTGCAATACTTACGGATCAATTTCATTTAAAAAATTGTGCAAGACCTATAAACTGAAACTACAATATCACCGAGAGAAATGAAAGAAAACCTAACCAAATGGAGAGACATGCCTTATCCCTAGGCCAGAAGGTGTCAATTCTCACCCAAACTGATCCAGAGATTCAACGCAGTCCCAGTCAAAAATTCTCAACATACTTTTTTACGTTTCTAAAATTTATGGAAATGCAAAGGACCTAGAATAGTGAAAATAACATTAAAAAGAGGAACAAATTTGGAGGACTTACCCTACCTGATTTCAAGACTGACTTACTTTCAAGTTACAGTAACCAAGACAGTGTAATATGAATATAGACAGATAAGTAGATGGACAAACAGAATGCACCCACACACATATGGACAACTGGTTTTCAACAAAGATCCAAGTGCCCTACTCCATGAGACCACAAGACACACAGGACAACATTTTCCTGGAGGGCTAACCCTGCAAGGAGGAAGGTCATCTTAATCTATTATCACAACATACACATGCATCATGGGGTAGAGTGCAATATGCAAAAAGTTTTAAAGTCACCTCAGACTTTCGCATTCCAACACAGCTTTCCCCATCTCAGCTCATGGCAAATCCAGTCTTTTAGCTGCTTAGATTTTAATCTGGAGAAGAAGATTACTCCAATATCCAGTTCATCAGGAAATCCAGTAGGTTCTGCCATCAAACACATCTGGGGTCCATCACTTCTCACACCTCCGCTGGCAACACTGTCCTTCCTGCTAGGATGGAGGCCTGCGAACTGGACCCCCTGCTTTCACTCCTCAGCTCAAAACCCTCCAAAGGCTCTGTATCCGTTCAGAGTGAAGCCCCATCCTCTCCCGGCCCTGGAGACCTGCCTGCCACCACTCGCCTGCTTACCCTGCTCCAGCCTCCAACACACCAGGCAACTTCCTTCCTTGGGGCCTTTTTATATTTTAAAAAAAATCCCAGATACTTCATCATTTTAACAATCAATTCTCCAGTTTGCATCCCAAATTGAAAATGATCTTTGAAAAGATAACTACCATATAGTGATTCCTAAATGTCAAATGCCCAGTCCATATTCAGCTTCATGCAATTTCTCAGAAACATCCTTAGACGGTCTGTTCTAATGGTAATTGCTAGAGCATGTGTGCTAGCTGCTCTCTCTGCCTCACTCTACCCCCCAGATGGCTGACCTGTGTCCCCTCAAATGACCATTTCTCTCAGAGGCCCACCCTGCTCACCCCTGCCCCTTCTCTTCCACAGCCCTGGCCCCTCCACATACTCTACAAAACACAGCTACTATGCCTATGGACTTTCTCACCTGTAAATGGCACAAGAAAAGGGGTGTCTTCCTGCTAAAACTAGATTTTATTTCAAGCACCTAGAACAGTGTCTGACACATGCCAGGTGCTCAATAAATATTTATGGACTGAATGAGCAGGGACGGTTTAACACTGAAGGAGAAGGAACTGATCTGAGGAGCCCACACAGCAGCAGCCCCTCAATACAATTAGTGCGAAATTCACAAAGGAGCTGAAACCAAGCAAAGACCACTTAGCACCACCAGAACTGGGAGCATATCTCTAAAATAAACTGTAATCGCTTGTCTCTGATACATCATTTGGACTATTTTGGCAGCCATCCTGCACTGGCTGAGTTTAGAGAGCTTTTACTGTTTTTATTTCCAACCCATACATTTAAAACAGTATCAAGTAACCCTTAAGTACACAATTATCAACTCACAAGAGACTCTTCCACTCCCTTGATAAATCATTATGGTTTGGCTTTGACCCTGCACCTGGGTACTCTACTTACACTTACACTTACACACACACACACACTCCCCCGCCCCCACCTTCCCGACTCTGACCCACCCAAACAAAATATGATTTCCCAATCTGAGGGAGATCAGACTTGATGAGAAAACAGCCATGGTGATTTACAATGAAATCAAGTGACTTGCACTTTGGGCAAGAGAAGTCCTTCGTTGCCATTTCATCCTCTTGAGCTCAGGCAAGTGAGGTCAGCTCCCTTTTAACTTGAGGGGAGGGGACCGGCCCGGTGGCGCAGCAGTTAAGTTAGCACCTTCCGCTTCTCAGCGGCCCAGGGTTCACCAGTTCGGATCCTGGGCGCGGACATGGCATCATTGGCAAAAGCCATGCTGTGGTAGGCATCCCACGTATAAAAGAGAGGAACATGGGCATGGATGTTAGCTCAGGGCCAGTCTTCCTCAGCAAAAAGAGGAAGATTGGCAGTAGTTAGCTCAGGACTGATCTTCCTCAAACAAACAAACAAAAAAACAAACAAAAAAAAATAACTTGAGGGGAGGAGATCTGGCCAGACATGGGCACCATCTGGAGCTCCAGTTCACTCGGGTTGCACAGCCAGCGCAGGGACGGGTCTCTGGAGCCATGGGTACCAAGGAGCCCAAGAAGGCCCCATCATCCTTTCTGAGGCCCAGCCCTATGAAAGCTGCATACCTTGGGTCTCCTCCTACCACTGTCTGCACTCACCAAACACTCGTGCGGTCTCTAAAATTCTTCAACTGTGTCTGCACTCAAACATTTACTAACGTGGCTCCAATCCAGTCCTGGGAAAACGACATTAGGGCAAAAAAAGTCCAAGGTGAAACCCAACAATACCGTTCACCTTCTACCACCCCTAGGTCCACAAAATCCACTTGTTTCACACAAACTGAGCACCCCAAAGACCAGGGTCACCTAGACCCTCTCTGCCAAATTTTTTAAGATTGGCCCTGAGCTAACATCTGTCGCCAATTTTCCTCCTTTTTTTTTCCTTCTCCCCAAAGCCCCCCAGTACATAGTTGTATATTCTAGTTGTAGGTCCTTCTAGTTCTGCTATGTGGGACGCTGCCTCAGCATGGCTCGATGAGCGGTGCTAGGTCCGTGCCCAGGATCTGAACCAGCAAAACCCTGGGCCACCAAAGCAGAGCACACGAACTTAACTACTCAGCCACGGGGCTGGCCCCTGCCAAAAGTCTTAACAACTGCATTGCTAACTGTCAAGGAGGGTAACTCCTTTGCTGGCTCTATCAGAAAGGGAGAAACTGAGGCAGAGTAACAGTGGAGCACCTCTTTATTATTCCAATTTTAGTATATGTGCTGCTGAAGCAAGCACGAAGCATCTCAAGGAAGCCCAGAGGTCATGCTGCTCCAACATGTGCTGGCTGGTAGGGAAAGGTTTAACTTGGGCAGAAGATTTGGTTTTCTAATCCAGGCGTCGGCAAACTATTGCCTGAGTCTATTCTGCTGAATGCTTCTCCTAGGACATAGCCACGTCCACACGAATGTGCACTATCTACAGCTGCTTTTGCTACAAGGCAGAGCTGAGTAGTAGCGACAGAGACAATACAGCAGAAATACCGACTACCTGATCCTTGAAAGCAGGAGGAAACCACAGCCCTAACGGGCTGTGCTGAGCATTAAAGGGACAGAGATGACCCAGGCGTGGCAGCACACCCACGACAAAAA